AACGGAAACCTACATACCAAATTTCGTTGAGATATCTCAATTTTTGCTCAAGTTATCGTGTACACGGACGGACAGACGGACGGACAGACAGACATGGCTTAATCGATTTCTCTATTCATTCTGAGCATTTATGTATACATTTGTCTATATCTATCTCGATTCGTTTTGGCTGTTACAAACAACCGTTATGTCAACAAAATTAATATACCCTTGTGCACCAGTGCGCTCGGGTATAAAAATATTAAAAATCAACGCGATTCTTTAGCAACTTGACACTTGCACATGATTACCCCGGAATTTAATGGGCTATCAAACTGCATACTCAAAAAGGTTTAAAAAAAAAATTGAAAAAAAACTTGAAAATCTAGCTGAAACTTTGCAGATTTTTTATAAATTTTGCACAAAGTTTGAAATGTGGATTTAAATTACGGCTGTAGCTTCGGCCCTGGGACAGCAGTGCTAATAGCGGCCCCGGTGATGAGAGCAGCGGTACGGGCCCTAGCGGTGATGATGGTTATTGCGGCGGCCCTGGATGACAGTGAATACAAATCGCGGTTCTTTGTGTTGCTAGCGGGCGGTCCTCGGCAGAAATGTCGGCCTTGGCGCGGCAGTAGTAGTAGCGGCCCCGGTGAAAAGAGCAGCGGTCCGGGCCCTAGCGGTGATGATGATGGTGGCGGCGGCCCTGAATGGCAGCGAGTACGATTAGTCCTCGGTTATGTTTGCGGGCGAACCTGGGTAGCGATCTCGGCCTTAGGGCGGCAGCGGTGTTGGCGGTCCAGATTGGTGACCTACGGACAACTGATCATTAGTGCGGTCCCCTAGGGCGTCGATAGGTTTCCCAGTCCCCCCGTATGTATTCGTGGCCGCTAGGCGCTGCAGGGGGTGGTTCGCCCCTTCAACGCCCGCTAGCCGCGCGGTATCGTAAGCAGGCAGGGGTGCTCGGAATTGGGCAAGCCCAAACGGGTCACGCCCCCTGTCTGCTTGAGACCGTGTCTAAAAATGGGTCTAGCCCATAATGGTTTCGGAGTGTTGCATGAGGGGTATTCCCCCCTTGCAGCCCCCTTCAACCAGTCAGTCTTCCTCCGAGGAGGAAAGCCAAGAGCGCCCCAAATAGGCCCGAAGCCCCGGATATGCTCCGTGCTTACCTACGGACAACTGATGCTGGTTGAGTTCATGTTGGCAGCTTTAGCTCCGGCTTTGTATGAGCTGTTTGAGAAGTGAGTGGGCTTATTCCGCATTTTTTGTTTTGCGTAACGCATTTCTTCCATATGTTGGTGTATGTATGTATGTTTGTATAGTTGTACCTATATGCAGTTGTAAGGCGCATGCTAGGGTGATGTTGAATATGTTATTGTAGCGTAGGCAAAGCTACGTTACAGTTCCCCTGCCACTTCGGCGGACGACAAGTTGTGGTATTCTTCTCCAGAGTACACTGTACACTGGCTCGGTCGGTATGTATGTGGAGGATCTTATTTTATTTTGTTTATGAAGTTTTTTGTTTTGTGTTATAAAATACAAGTCTTCTTATTTCTTAAAATATTTCGAATATCAGCTCGTAAGTTTTGATATAACTATAACTAGGTAGTGAAATGCAAATTTACTTCCACAATGATTGGAAAATGTTATTTATTTATGTATTTTTTTTCTATTTTTTTTTCTAGTAGTACAGGGTAAGACTTAGGTCTTTTAATAGTACTACATCCATTATATACTGTACGTGGAAAGTAAAACAGCAATGATAATGACAATATTTACTTAATCCTAAAATAAATTAAATTACAAATTATCCTTAATAATTAGATAAGTGTAAGGAAAGAGGAAATAAATATAAAACAGTATAGAAATAGAGAATTGAATTGTAAAGGAAGAAATATACACGTTTAAGAGTTGTAAGAGTTTAATGCCCTGATATCCTGCGATCATACTGTTTGCAAATAGTTATAAATTAGTGTCTTGTAGTTGAATCTGCCTAGTCCAGCCTTTACGGACTCCGGCATCGAGTTACAAACCCTAGCAGTGTTAATGAAGAAAAGTCTGGTGGATGTTAGGTAATTAAATTTTGGAACGATAAGACTGTGGTGTCTTCGTGACTTGGCTGGTATCAACTTCTCAAACAGATAGCTAGGAGTCCTCCACACAATAAATTTGTACATAAATATACAATTTCTAGCTGCCAGGTAGTTCTCAAGGCTGCAGCCTAATATCTTTGTCTGCCAAGGAGAAATATGTTCGTATCTGCTGATCCCAGATCCATAACGTGTAGCATTGTTAAAGGCAACATTAACTTTATGGCACGATATTTAATCTAATTTACTGTACACCACCTCAGAGTATGTGATGAGTGGCAAAATCAGTTGAAGTACTAATTTGCGCCTGGTTTCCACTGGAGTGAATGCAGCAGACACCCTTAATTTGCGTAGTATGGCATACACGTTTCCTACCATCTTATTTGCATGGTCAGTACATGTAAGTTCTGTATTAACAATGAAACCTAAATTTTTTACCTTTTCCGTAAAACTTAGCGAACTAGAACCTATCCACAATTTGGGAATATATAATGAACTAGCTGTACCCCGCGCGCGTTGCTACGCTGCCAACTAAAATAAATATGAAGGAAAGACATTACACAAATATTCTATTCATTTTGAGTCCTTTTATTGATTTTGTTCATTTTGAAAAAATTGTGACATTGCAGCGTTTTGTTTCAATTCGATATTTATTGAAGTGCTGTGGGATTCACAATATTTCTTGTTTTTCCATCTGGTGCGTAAACGAATAAATCGGAAGGTTTTCCGACGCGTGAGCAGGCCACATAGAGCTGCCCATGTGAGAAGCATGGATTCTCCAAATTTAATCCACACACTTGCAATGATTGTCCTTGTGCTTTGTTGATAGTCATTGCGAAAGCGAGTCACACCGGGAACTGCAAAGGTTTGAATTCGAACGGCATATCTGTCGGGATAATTGGGATGCGTGGCAACAGTACGTCTTCACCTTTGAATTTTCCAGTCAAAATTGTTGCTTCGATAACATTGTTCATCATTTTCTTGACTAAGAGTCTGGTTCCGTTGCAAAGTCGTGGTGGATTTATGTTTCGAAGAAGAATGTTAGAACGTGCGGTGGCATGCCTGGCAAATCAAGCGAATTCAAGAATTCAGTTGGATAGTTGACAACTTCGTCTTGATTCACCACAGTATCGATGGACTTATATGCTGTCGTTTCGCCGGGTATTCCATTCTGAATAGTGAAGTTGATGGTATTGACATCGATGTTTTTGGCCGCTCATATAGCGCGCGTACTGAGCCACTGATGATTTTTGTAGTTCTGTGCAATCTGTGGGAATACCTTTTGCACCAATTCGGCTATGCTTTCTGTGATCCTACAGAAGTTTGCTGGCAAGGTGATACATTGTGTGGAATCATCAATTTGCATTCGCCCATTTCCAATATCCATTAATTCTTTTGCAAAATTACCAGCCGATGTATCCCGTTGTAGTTGTACACGCATGTTGGTTTTCAGAGTCAATTTCTGTATATTACGCCATAAAACTGATGATTTGAGACATGCATTAAGCGGATGTTGAACGTGGTATAACCGGCAGTGTTTGTCGAAAATCACCAGACAATAAAATGAGTGCACCACCGAAGATCCGTGTGTTTCCCCTCAAATCTCGCAGTGTACGATCAAGCGCTTCCAATGCTTTCTTGTGAGACATTGTACATTCATCTCATATGATAATTTGACACACTTGGAGTACTTTGCCCATTCCAGAGTTTTTACTGATGTTGCATGTTGGTGCCTCTGTGTTTTGCAAATTCAACGGGAGTTTCAACGCTGAATGCGCTGTTCGACCACCATCCAAAAGAGCTGCCGCAATTCCAAATGATGCAATGGCCAGTGCAATATTATTTTGTGATCGTATGACTGCCAAAATGAGTGAAAGAAGAAAAGTCTTGCCTGTACCACCAGGCGCATTTATGAAAAACCGTCCACCGCTTTGTTCTGTGATTGCACGCATAATTCTGTCATACGCAATGCGTTGTTCTGGAATCAACTGCGGAAGATTTGTCTGAACAAATGTTTCCAGTTCGTCAGAATCAAAGTGTGTTTCTCGTTGCAAATCCCGATCGAAAATGTCGTTCGCTGGTCGGTTCGGAGCAGGCATTTCCAGTAGCACCAGCGCTTTGTTAGCGATTGCCAAAGATATGTCTTCAATCAAAATCAGTGCCTCATTATACACGTTTGGTGTGAATTGAATGTCCAGATTTTGATTCGCAGCGCGCAAACGATGTAGAATATCTTCACTCATGTAGTCCTTGTAATTTTCCCAAAGTTCTTTTGGATTAGATGGGAAGCAGGTTGTCAATATTACGGCAAATAACGTGCGCATTTGCTGTGGTCGCGCAGTATTCGATGCATCTGCGAGCGAAGTGTCCCAATGTGCATCTTTCTCAAGAAGATTTAGCTCCTGGCAAGCTTGGCGATAAGTGGCGCACAGCTGACCGTTGACTTCTCTTAAATCTTGGAAGGATATCGGTCCACGTACATTGATTAACAGCAATCGCAGATAGAAGTACCCTGTATTGTTCGGGGAACAGTGTACAGACGACCCAATGCGTCACAGGAATACAAATTGGGATGTCCTTCAACTGATTTAACTTGCTTGCTTGTTGAAACTTTTTAGCAGATGCATTCCATGTGTAGAATTTCGGTACCTCAGAATAAAGTAGAGTCTTTGCAAAAATATCATCCCGCACAGTGAGTAAAATGCAATTAAAGTTGTTGCCGGTGGAACCAATGCTCTTGCACGTACATTTTCTGATGTGAAGTACACGCGCTGTCCATTCTCGAGATGCACCGCCAAGTGTACTACTGTTGGATATCGTTCATGGATTAAAAATGATAAGATGCGCCATACTGCTTCATTGCTGCTAATGTAGCGTTCAAGTTGGTATTGGTTGATTTCAACGAGCTGTGCGGCCACATTCCCTACTCCGAAGACTGCCATGTCGCTTCCTTTGTTGACATATTTGCAAATGTATTTGATCGACTTCACTGAATTGCAATACTCAACATTAATGTGTGCTTTGAAGGTCTTTGAAAGCAACGGTGAATATGGCACAACCCAACGATTATCGACTTCAACATCAACGTTTCGTACTTTCAGAACGATGAATTTGCCGCCATCCTCAACTGATCGTCGACAATACAGTGGGTATCCGTCATTGCCAGTGATGGAATCAGAAACCATCTTGGGTATCGTTTCGTGCATGTCCCATCAGACATGCATGGATTATTGTTATTGAATGCGCCACATGGACCATGGATCATATTTTTGGTAACGACGTCGAATAAGTCTAGATCAATGTCCTTATCTGGTATTTCTGCTGAGATGATTTGGTCAATTTGATCTGGCGTAATTTTGTTGATTAACCAAACCAAAATATGTGCATGTGGCAATCCTCTTTTCTGCCATTCTATGGAATACATCCAGCATCGTGTCTTTCCAAAAACGTGATGCTTGTTAATAAAATCCATAAAATCTTCAATTTTTGTTTAAATACGCGTGCGGTAA